ATAATGAGAAGAGTCGTGGTCTTGCGCGGGCTCTTCTCTCGTTCAATTCATTATAAAAAGGGTGGAATTTCCCCCTCCCAAAAGGACAGTTCAGAGTAGTTCAGAATTCAAGCCCATAATAACACAATTGTACTGCCCCTACAAAACATTAATAAAAATTAATAAAAGCCCTTTGACCTATAAAATACAATAACGTTCTTTTAAATCCGAAATACTTATCTTGTAACGCTCCTCTTCGATCGCCTTGACCTTGTGCCAAATCGTAAAACCGCCTCTATTATCTTTGAGGAACGTTACGCGGCATAACCGTTTTTCTAGCGACAATCCGTCGCATTTGCCCCATCTCTGAACTCGACATATTACCTGTCACAATAGTAAAAACTTTCCAGGCAAATTTGTCTAGAAATGATCTACAGACTATATCTAAGTATAACTTATAATTTAATGTCGCAACTGTTGCTTGAAATCGGCTAATGCTTGAAATTTTAAAAAATTTTGGAGTGCATTTTTTTAGTTTTTTTCTCGTAGTTAGATTATGGTTTAGAGTTAGTTTTAATAATGTAAGAGTATAAGTGGATTTTGGTAGGGTTTATATTTTTACATCGAGGTCACTGATTTCAAGCATCAGCCGCGACATTTAATAATTGCACAAAATATTTAGTAGAAATATAAAAAATAAAATTTTAATAATGATATGATGATTGTTAAATATGTAATATATTCTTTAATTCAAAAATTTAAATCGATCAAAAAACTAAATTTATTTAATTACATGTTTAAAAATAAAAATCAATCCAGGACAATGGAAAATTCGCCTTAAAATTTAATCAGATTTCAGTTAAATCATGTAAAAAAATTATTACATAAATCAAGAGAATCAAGTGATAATTAAGGGTTAATATTAGGTTAATATGAAGCTTACTTGACTATTAATTCTAAAGAATCTCGGATGCATTAAATTATTTATTTTCTTTTTCTATCTGTTTCAACAATTTGAATGATTTATCATAATTCTTAGCAGCAGCCAACCTTAAATATTCCATGGCTTTTTCTAAATTTTTTTCCAGTCGATTCCCATTATAATGACCCTTTCCAATCACATAGAGAGCATCAGGATCTCCATTATCTGCAGCAATCATCATATATTTAATTACTTCTTCTATTGTCTCTTCATTTTCACCACCAGTTTCCTTTAAAACTTCTGCATATTTTACTTGAGCCTTAGCTAAACCATTATCAGCGACTTCTTTAAAAAGTTTTTTGGCAGCTTCAAGATCTTTTTTCACAGAATAACCTTTATAGAGATAATATGCCTTCCAGTATTTACCTAAATCATTCCCGAGCGATGCATGTTTATCAAAACATTTCCATAATTCATCAAAATCAGAATTGGGGCCTTTTGTGACATGTTTTTTCTTTTGAATTGCTTCGATTCCTTTGTGCTTTTGAATTGCCACATCTAAAGGTAGTAATGTCTGCACAATACTTGTATAATCTGGTTTTTCAACAAGAACATATCGAGAGTCTTTTATAGATTCTTGCGTATTAAGTAATATGTCTTGAATTTTTATTATTGTGGGACGACGTTCTCTACTTTGTGCCCAAGCTAAAATGAGTAAGAATAATAATAAATATCGAACATTTTTAATAAAAAATGAATGAATGAAGGTAAAATACCTAGTTTAATAAGGTCATTAAATGTTTTTTGAATTTGATTTATCCGTTCACCAAAATTAAGATTTTCTCTTTTTCCATTTTGTACATGTTTTTGAATTTGTATTGGATCCATGTTTTTATAAGGAACTTGTTCAAACGTCAATTCCCAAAGAAGCATTCCAAAGCTATAGTATCAAATATAATATTATTATGAGATAAACATTAGATGGTTCGAAGTAATAATATATAGTTATTCTGATAGCCCGATCATAGTAGCTATCGGATACTTACCTAAAAATCTCTGATTTTCTATTATATTGAGGTAAATCTTCGGAGTTTTTTCCATGAGGCATTTTTTCAGGTGCTAACCAATTTACAGTTGTAGGATTAAATAGTCGTTCGGTTGCTTCGTCATCTCTACGACTTGTTTTAAAATTTGAAATCTTTGCAACCAAGACATCAGTGATCTAATAATTGAAAAAAAAATCAATGAAATACAATCAATTAACTTCGAAAAAAAAGAAAATTAAAATAAAATAGTAAAAAAATCGTGCATACAAGAATGTTTTCACAACGAATATCATGATGAAGATATTCACAACTATGTAAAAATGCAAGACCATTGCAAATATCACAAACTATTCGTAACTTCCATTCCCAATTTATTTCGAAGTTTGTGTAAAGATCTTTTAAATTATCATTTTCCATCCACTCAAAAACCAATACTTTATAGTTTTCTATACGTGAAATACCATAAAACTTTATGATATTTTGACATGCAGATAATTTGCTTAAGATACTTAATTCAGTTTGTTGTAATTGTTGTAGTTTATTATTTTGAGAAAATTCAAATTTTTTGCATGCAACTTGTATACCACCTTGATAGAATTTTCGTGAAACTTTTCCATTTCCACATGAATCGCTTCCACGTAAATCATTATCTTTATTATTAGGTGGTTCCTGAAGTGATTTAGGATCTATCTCAGGAGCTTTGAAAATATCAGTTATATTCGGTGAAGCGCTATCTTTAGTTACATATTTTTCAATTCCCTCTAGAGTTGATGCCATTGCCCTAACTTGGTCTATTATAAATGCATTTTCATTGCGAACATGTAAAACACTCTACCAAAAAAAAAAATTAGTTTAAATAATGCTTATAAAATGATAAATTACATAATAAGTCTTACTTTTTTAATTGAGTCTAGTTTTTCAAAATTATAAATAGAAATTGAAAGATTTAAATCTTGTATTCCCTGGTCCAGATCTAAAATAATACTTTCAAATTTATCATTGATTGCCTTTGCATCTAAAAACTTTCGTAATCTTGAAATTTTTGAAATATCAAGAATAAAACCCTTGATAAGTTCCAAAATAGTTACGAATCTATAAAAAGCATCATAAAAACTTTGGTTTCGAAACTTTTCTTCGTTTTCTTCATGTCTTCTTAATAAGCTTCTTATGGATGTATACGCAGCATCCACACGATCAACTAAGGATCGGCACATAACTTTATTATGATCAGCATTTTCGTAGATTAAAATAATCTCGTCAACTAATTTCCTTATGGTACCAACCAAGGGAATGAATGGTGTCAATGCATCTATAAATTTAACGTTAAAAGTCAACCCAATTTTACATGATAAAAGCAGTAACACAGTGTTTTAAACTGGTTAAATTTAGCCAAAATTATGATTTTAGCCAGAACCAAAGTTTTAATATTTCATTAGTCCTAGAAAAATTCATAATGCTAACAAGAATTCATTCTTATTATCATTAAAATTCCAAAAAAAATAATTTAAAATGACTACCTTCTAAAGCACAAACAACGCGACTAGTTGTTCCTATATAAGTTACTGAATCACTGATACTATCATAGTTTGTTATAGTGTGTACATTTTTATTCTTAGGTTTAAAAGTAAATGTAGACATTGCTTTTTCTCAGATTATGTTTTCCTATAAGACGATTGAATTTCGAATGTATGGTCCTTTTTTTAAAAAAAAAAAATTCATAAGTTATATATTTTCATAATATATACTTTGTGTTTGGATACGTAAATATATAATTTATTGATAACTATATAATACATAAACGCGTTGGATTCATGTAAGCGGCTTTTAGATTATTAATGTAGTTAATGATGACAGTGCAGTTTCTGATAAGTTTTCTATCGTTATAGACATGGTGTTCTTTGCAAGAACGATATGTAAATAGTTTTACTCATCAAAATCAAATATTGCAGAACCACTAAGAACTACCCTTATGTTGCATTTAGTTTTCACTTTATTTGTGTTATATATAACTAATTATAATTTAGACCATTAGAGATCTAGTCATGATTACACAAAATATTTTGCATTTATGAATACAAGTTTATTAGTAACACTTTTATTTATTTATTCATAATTACAATGGCTCATCGGAATAACCAATTCGGTTTATGATATTTTTATGCTGAAACTATATAAATATTTAAAGATTGATTTCATCCATACATGTATATGTATTTAGAACACCACGATTTCAATACTCAATTTTGTAATACTTTGGTTTTATTACAAAGCGATGAAACTATAAACTATATAGTTGATTTTTATCATATTTCACAAATTTAAAGTTTGTGACAGAAATTTTGAATTTCTTACTATCGATTGTCTCCCATATGATTACTTGCCTTAAATTAGTGTAATGTGATAGCCTAAATTATTAGATACTAGGTATCAGATCCGTCACTTAACCGACGGGCCATGCTGAACATAAATCTCATGACGCGAGACCGAGCGAACATCTAAATTTTGGTATTATAGATATTAACTATGTATATTGTCGTGTTCGGAAACTACGACTCGGTCGCTCCACAATCAAAAATCTCGCGTAACCAACGATAGTTAACCTTTCGAAAGAGGGTGTTAGATTTGGCTGGTGGGTGATTAAGGCTTTTGATTACTTGGTTCAACGAAGTTAAATAGGGTAAGTCACATGATCAAGAACTTGAACGAACAACGATTTTTATGGAGTTTATAGGTTTATACCGGGTAGAGTGTTAATGTAATATTATGTACAGTGTATAAAGCAACCGAAGCATAACGCTCCTAAGGAGCCATTTTGGCCTTTATTTATGTTATTCAATTTTGTCGCTTACAAATGCGACTTTACACTTAATATTTAATAAAACTACTTAAAGCTATTTACAATTATTTCTTTAATATTTTTAAGGATATTTAATTTGTACTTACATCCTTCTTTTATTCTCTATCTACCCCTCTGCATCCGAAATACTGTTCCCAATCATAAATGTAATTAATTGCTCTAATGTGTTTCGTGCATTTCTCATATAATAAGTCACGGTATTCAGATCTCAAAGTAGATAGATGTAATAGCTAACGAGCGCAATCGTTAGAATGGATAAAAAATATATTGCTTCATCCTTTGTGAATCGAAAAAATTCAATAAAGGATGATAACTCTTGAGTAGATTTTATTTGGTAAACTGTTTATAATGACCTCTTGAATTTCATATAATAAATAAAAAATTTAATCACAACATCTAAGTCTTTAGTCTTCAATTTTAAAATTTAGTTACAAATTACATGTTAATCAATACTGGACCCTCCATCTATACCAGTGATGCTCTAGCCCACCTTTTCACTACATAATCTACCTTAACATAGCTCGTTAGACATAGGCTTACATTGATTAGCACAGTCAAAATTAGTAATACTATTATATTAATAATCAAAATTTCAAGGTTTTATAAATGCATTGTAATGCTATCTTGCTCGATCAAATCATGTGCTTCTACTAGTGAACCTTAGAACTTTTGAAATTTCTTTAAGACTATGCGAAGGAAATTGTAGTTGTAAGTATTATTTATTTTAAACTTAATTTTAAGTGTAATGCTATATTAAATTTTTGAATAATTTTTCATTAGAGATTGTATATGAAGCTTTACAGATCAGGGCTAGAAAACCCGAGTTCTATAAGTTTTTTCCATATTTTTTTTTTCTAATAAAATCTTTAATACTATATTCGATTATTATATGATCATTATACTTAATACATTTATTATATAAAACATCGAATAAGAATGATAACAAATTGAAAGAATATTTATCAAAAAAAAAAAAATTAGCTTTAATGTGATGTTTATGATAAAGAAATATATTAATTCTTTATGAAATTCTAAAGATTGTCTTCATTAAACAGACAATGGTAAATAAGCATTCTGGCATGATAAAAATAATGAAAGATTTAAAAATTGTTTATATTATTATTTTAAGTAAAATAATTTGTACTCACATTATTTGGTCGTAAATTTCTTATAAAATCCCTTCTATTTATATTTAAATTGCCTGTAGATATTTTAACAACTACCCATAAAACCATTAGAATTGCTAAAAATATGATATAGTAAACTGAGCCAAATGATTGTAGAATGCACAAAGATAAAATAAGGTATACCAAAAAAAAAAGATTTATAAATTTGATTGCTTTATCAATGTTAAGAATTGAAAATAAGGTACCAGTAAACAAATATAATTTTAAATAAATGTAATTAAAAAAAACGAAACAGTTATATAAACTTCTAAGTAGAGAAAAAAGGTCAATTGTCAAATACGTTATGCTCAAAGCAAAGCATAAGTTATGAAATGATTCAGATGAGAATCGTTTTCTGGTTTTATTTATTAATATAAATATGATCCCAATTAAGAAATAAATGCTTGAAAAAATTGCATCTGAAAACGCAAGGGAAGGTAATTGATATAAAGTTAAATATAAAAGAAATGCAAAAAATATATTTATTGCGCATATATCAATAAAATCGATTTGATTTTTAAGAGTTATAAATAATCGAGAAATATCCATGATCAGTTTAAAATGAAATAATCCATATTATGTATTTAGAATGCTATCAAACTTTTATAAGATTTAGCTGATGTATTAATGCGTTAAATTTCAGTCAGTTAGCTTCATCTAATTATTATTAGATTTATATATTACAAATTCCTAATATAGAAGGTTACTTAATTTGTGATCAATACGAGAAGTTGTACGTAATAAATTATTTGTTTGTTTTTTTAAATCATATGGTTATTTGCAGGGGTACCGAAAAATTAATTGTAACCAATTATTACGCAATTATAATTGATTATAATTGTTGTCGTAACCAAGGATAATTGCCATTAGCATATGGATGTGGTGAATCATTGTACGTGACAAATAAGAATTTACTAATTAGTCTATTGGTTGATCTTTATTCGTCACGCAACTAATTTATCACACCCAAAATTGCAATTAATTGACTCATTGTGGCTGCGCCACCAATTAATTAATTGGGTTCAAATAATTACAATCAATTATTCGGTAGGCCTGGCTATTTTGTCGGAAAAAGTATGGAAACAGTGTGTATAATTACATAAAAATAACAATGCATATATTTAAAGTTAAAACAAATACAAATTTATTGGTCTCTAAGCACACCATGCGAATACTTTACATCAGAATAGACTAAAAGTACAATATTTTTATAGCATTTTATTGAAAATGTTATCAATTTGTCGATAAAATATGAAACCGGCATAGCATTAAATAAAATAGTATAAATAAAATAATATAAATAATATTATTATAAAATGCAAAAAAATAATAATTTATTAATTTTGGTTCTAGCAAAAGTATTTCGATCATTGAAGTAATATATCAAGATAATTCAACATGTATTCCTACTTGTTTCGTTCTTTACTTATAATTTTGGTTTCTTTTGAGATTTTTAGTGCTCCCATACTTTATAAATCCCTCTTTTTCATAATTATTCTCATAAAAAAACCTATCGTGAATATTAGATTAATGAATATAATAGCATGTCTTCCAATATACTACATTTATATAACTCTTGATCTTTCTCTTTTATTTTACGCATTATATTTTTGGATCTTTTATTCTGAAACAACTTACTTAGAGTTTTATGTCGTTGTTGGAATTTTATTTTCTTTTACTGAAAAAATTGTGCCTACTTCTAAATCACCTTATGGAATTTGTCCGAATTGTAACAATAAAGTACCATATTATCAAAAAATGGGATCTATGCTTACCAGGTGTCCAACATGTAAAATGCCTACGAATTTTAAATGCACTGAATGTGAACAAGATATTGCACGTGTTGGTTGGTGTCCATCATGTGAGGGTGCAAACTATAGAGAAAATTTTAACAAGTGGACAAGTGGTGATCGAAAAATTGACGAAATTATCCGGCGATCCCAGTCAAATCCTATTGTTTCTGATCAAGTATTAGAATGGATTGATTATCAAGAGCTCGATGTGTATGGATTAATAGGCGAAGGTGGTTTCGGAAAAGTTTATTCCGCGGAGTGGCATAAAGGTCCACGGGATTTATATAATATAGAAATAAATAAATGGATTCGAAGAGGTCCAACGGAAGTAGCCTTAAAAATCTTAAATGATTTAACTAAAGCTGAAGATTTTTTCGTTGAGGTATTTGCATTTTTATATTTCAATTTTTGTCAATGTTGCATGATTCTAATAAAATTTAATAATTAGCTTGAAGCTATAATGAAAATTAATGCCCCTTTGTTCATCGCAAAGACTTTTGGAATTTCTAAGGATCCTAAACTAAATAAATATGTGATTGTAATGAAGATGTATAGTCTTGGTGATTTAAAAAATTTTTTAAGTAAGAGAAAAAACATGAGATTTATTGAAAGGGCCGCATTAGTAGGCTGGCTTGCTGCTGGTTTGCTAAAAATTCATGAAAATGGCTTAATTCACCGTGATTTGCACTCTCGAAATGTTTTAATAGTTTTAATGGATGATCCTAATTTTCAAGGACCTAAAAATCTTGGTTTAATCGCTGATTTTGGATTATGTAAAGCAGATGATCGAAAATCTGTCGAAGTAAGGGGTGTTAAGAAATATGTTGCTCCTGAGGTCCGTGAAGGAAGCCCTTACACCAAAGAATCAGATATATATAGTTATGGAAAACTTGTTCAAGACGTCTTTGAAAATAATTCATCACATTTGATTGATGTATTAACAGCAAATTGTTTAAGTAGAGAGCCTTCAAATCGACCTGATATAAAAATGATTTATATTTTCCTTAAAGAAGTGGTAGTATTTTATGAACTAGGACCAGATGGGTATTTTAATCTATTCTACCGAGTATCTGATGAACTAAAATCAGTGAAACAGGAGTTAAATAAGATTTACCATTATGATTATTCTAACATGAAAGAAAGACTGATTAAAAGCTCTGAAAATTTGATCGCCGCCTTTCCAATGCACGAAGGCGGACTTCTAATGAGTTGTGGTGCCTTGAGCTCTACTCTTAAAGAGGTTGTTAAAGCACCTATCGAGAGAATTCAACCCATGCTGGATTCGGTTATTGAAAATCTTTCCATATATATATATTGGCATGAAAAGATTAAAACATATCAACCTGACAAAAATGACAAAACTGACAAAAATGACAAAACTGACAAAACTGACCAAACTGATAAAACTGGCAAACATGACAGGCCTGATGAAACCAATCCAACTTTATCAAACACTGTGACTATATAACCCAATTTCGTCGACTACTACAAATTTTGCCGATTTTGCTTTATATGTATTAGCATTGGTTAGAGGTAGATCGTCGACGAATTTTATCAAAAACATTTTTATGAACTTGATTATTTACTGTCATCAAATTTAAATTTGTTTTCTCTCATATATCTATTTTATATTTTTACGTATATATTTATGTAAATCATCGATATTTTTGTACTAATCTAGGAAGCATTTTAGTTTCATTTATAAGCAACACTTGAACGTATTTCTATATTTGTTTCAGTATAATTCTTTTAGAAAAAAATTTATTAGAACAACTAGAATATTTAATCTTGAGATCTAAATTAAACATTTCTTAGACACGTAAAATAATAAATGGATTTCAATATATAACATAATGAGTTCGAAATTTGATCTTCTACATGATAGTGTGAGAATCCATATTATGAAATTTAAGGAATATAGGAAATTGAAAGAAATAAAAGTTTAAATCTATGAATATCTAATACTTAAACTTGTCTTAGTGTTATATAGGAAATTAAGATATTTATTTCCATTAATGTTTCCCATCTGGTAGCCTTTATTGAAATAATACGATGCTTTATTTTCATCACACTCAATACCTATTCCATTTTTATAGCAATTACCAGTATGAATCATGCCATCAGAATCTCCCATATCAGCTGAACTTTTAAAATGAAGGAATGCGTTATGATCATTTTTTTCAACGCCTATTCCATTCTCATAACATATACCAACAAAAAACATTCCTAATTCATTTCTTTGTGTGGCTGCTTTCCGAAAATAATCGAATGCCTTTCCCTCATCTTTTTTAATACCGCTTCCATTTAGATAAAACCGACCAGTTTGAAGCATTCCGGAAACATTCCCCTTATCAGCTGCTTCTTTATAATTAGAGAATGCATTCTGATCATTTTTTTCAGTTCCTATTCCAACGTGGTAACAATGCCCAGCTTCATATTTTCCACCAATGTTTCCCATTTCAGCTGATTGCTTATAATAGTTAAATGCTTCATTTTCATCTATTTCTACTCCTATTCCGAGTTCGTAACAAGTGCCAACTCGAAGTAATCCTTCACTATCACCCAAATCTGCCGCTCCTTTATAATAACGAAATCCTTTTTTAATATTATATTCATCCTTTTCGACTATTATTCCTTCTTGAAGTAAGTACCCGCAAACCATTTGAACCTTTGCATTTCTACTTACTGCAGCAGAAAAAAAGGAGCATTATAATTTATTTTATTTTTGCCATAGAACTAATTTGTAGGGAATAAAACACACACCTAACTTAGCGAAAAGATCATTCACAATAATATCGACCAGGATAATAGAATAAAATTGACCCATAACGATGAGAGTTTTGCAATAAAAATAAAATGAATGTATGTTAAGTAATTTATTAGAATTTTGTTGTCATAATATACGTAATCACAAGTAATTATATTAATATTTTTAAATTTGTATAACTTTTAAATGTGAAATGTTATGAAAATTGAGATTAAATTGTATAGTTTTTGATCATGACTTGTTATTACATATTATGATATTACGTGAGCACAACAAACTTCGAATTAAGACCAGTTAGTCAATGATGATATTAATTGTTATATGACCAACATGTTTTTATTTATCAAAACCATGCCACTAACAATAACTAATCATATTCCTCGGTTGAGTGTCACGATATATTATTTGTATGTACACTGGCGATCATAAATAATGCAACAAAAAAAAAAATTTAGTCGGATCGTATTATCTCACTCAATTCCGGGCGTATTTGTTAAATTTTTTTTTTATTGTATTCACAAATACTATCTTTTTTAGATAGCAAAATTTTAATAATCGTTATTATTACCAATGCGAAGATAATTGTGAATTTATTACAAATCACGTGTTGCATTATTTTTGATCGTTTTTGACAAAGATCAGATCGCGTGAGTTGTGCCACATAAAACATATAAAAATGGAAGTTTCACTGTTGATTCTGCATCTTGTGTAATGTTAGAATTGCTTACAAATCAAAAAAAAAAAAAAAGAACCGTACAACTTTTGCCAAACAAGCCCAAATATTGCTTTCCCTTCAAAAAGGGTACACCACAAGAGCAGTAGGTCGGGCCCACTATGTTAACTGTTCCACAGTCTCGCGAATTAGAAAAAAGTGGTTAACAAACCACACACTTGAAGATTTAGGAAGGGTTGGTCGTCCAACTTTGTTGGATGAACCAACCCAAAGAAGAATAGTAAATTTAATTACCTCCCGTCGCTGCTCTACCGTCGTTGAAGTGAGGACCCACCTCAAAATAAATAAAGATATTGAAATTTTGGTGTCTACTATTCGGCAGATACTTCGAAACCATGGTTTAGTGTTGGGAGTAAAAAAAAAAAAACTCTACCTAAGCGATAGTCATCGAAAAATGCAGCTCGCTTTTGCAAAAAAATATGAAAAATGGACCGTCGAAGATTGGTCCAAGGTAATTTGGTCAGATGAGTCAAGATTCCAAATTTTTGGGTCGGATGGTAAGCAGTACTATTGGAAGCATCATGGAGAATCATTAAATCAGTTCCATATAAAGCCTACTATGAAATATGGTGGCAGATCAATTATGATTTGGGGTTGCTTTACCTCTTGTGGTGTTGGCAGCTATTGTAAGGTCAATGGTACGTTGGATACAGATCTGTACCTAAAGATACTTCATGAAGATTTGATGTGGACTATTGAGGATCATGGATTTGAAGTCGGTGAAGTCATTTTTCAACAAGATGGAGCATCTTGTTATATGGCAATCTTGACCAAACATTGGCTTACAAGGAAGAAGATAAAGTTTTTCAACTGGCCTCCCCAATCGGCCGATCTAAACCCGATCAAACACTTGTGGGATGAAGTTGATCATTGGCTTAGGGACCTCCCTGGTCAAATTTTAAGTGAAAAAGATCTCTGAGAAAAAATTCAGATGGTTTGGCAGGCAATCGATGTTGAAACCTGCATAAGGTTAATTCGTTCAATGCCAGAACGAATCTGTGATGTAATTAGAGCCTGAGGCGGTTATACCAGATGGTGATAGCTGAAAATTATTAGAAAAAAAAAATATTTTTTTTTTTATGTAAAAAAAATTTTTTTAGTTTTACAATTGTATTGCTGTTAAAACGAGCAAAAATAATGCAACACGTATATTGAAATAAAGCTCGTGCCCCCAAAAAATTTTAATCATTAAATTTTTAAATCCTTTTTATTAATAATAATATTGCTATTTGCGAGTAAAATAAAAAAAAAATTAAAAAATACACCCAGAATTGCGTGAGATAATACGATCCGACTAAATTTTTTTTTTGTTGCATTATTTATGATCGCCAGTATACTGTATGTACAAAAAACAATTTATTAATTTCGAACTTCTATTAGCTTCTAATACTAACTGTGAGTAAGATATGTAAAAAAAGATACTGAATAAATACGAAGACTTTGGCACAGCAAGAAACTATCAATTTCTAACATTAATTAGACAGTCAGAATGTGATAGAGTTTCAAACGATTAACATATGCTACAATGACTAGTTATTAATTGCTATTTATTTCATATAACAATTTTGGAATTTCTATAAATGGATATTAGTAATTCATTATAAATTGTTTTTATGTCGAGCTATGTAGGATTTTTATCAAATATTATAAAAACTTTAACTTTTATACAAACTAAAGATGCCTGCTGCAAAGTCACAACTTTGTGACTTTTTAGAATTAGTTGTACCCTTTGTGAACCTTCTATTTGTCGTAAAAAGATGTAAGATAGTAGAGTTACATTTATGTAATTATTATTATTAATAAAATTTATATAATTGCATATATACTGTAAATAATACATAATATAAAAAAACTCTTTTTTATACATTACTAAAACAAATAAATAGAAAACAAAATTTTAATTTAGAGCCTGATATCATTACTAAATAATAATAATTTTGAACCAACATGTACTTGTGCACAACAGGAAAACAACTGAGAACAGAACAAATTAAATAAAACAAAATAAAAGAAAAAAAATGACAAATTAAAACAGCAATGATAAGGAAAACTTTTTCAAACTACTAAAAAAAGTTTTCTTATATGATCTTCTTAAAAAATTTTTAACAAATATAATTATGCATAATACAACTGTGGTGAGAAAAAAACTTTCAAAATATAAACAACTTGACTTCTCATTAGTAATAATAAATGAAGACATACTACTACTATTACTACCTTTGTTAGTATAAAAAGTGAGTAATTTAGTTACCCTTAAAGAATTCTAAAATGATATCATCAGTTATATAAAAAGTCACAATAACAACAAACCTTGTAAAAAAAAGCAATAAGACACAATTTTCACAAATAATAACAATATAACAATTACTATAAAAAATGATACATTTTTTAATAATAACTCAAGTATTAATAAATAACAAGATTTCAATTTAGACAAGATCAAGATCCAAAATATACAAACAAATGAAATTAACATAAATATAAAAGACATAGACTCAGAAAATATATAATGAAACAACTAATTATAGACAACAATCACTAGTAATAATTTGAATAAACAAAAACATAAGTTCATATATAGCTAAGTAACTAGCAAAAAATTATAAAACAAAATAATGATAAAATACAGAAATACAATAGATTAACACAATACAAATCAAATTAGCAAATAAAATTACTAAACTCTTTAACTTAAAAATCTAGAACTACAATAAAATACTTGAATTATTATAAATAAAATAAGAAATAAAAGAACTTATTAAATATAAGTTAATATACAAATTAACAGATCTTTATATAACTAATAAAATTAATACAAACTTTAATTATTATAATTATTTTTATAGAAATAAGAGTATAGCTAATTACAAATGCAACTTTGGTTACCTATTTAAGTAGTCTGCTCTAAAGTTTTATACTTAATACTAT